CCAAACATGCGTTTTCCACCAGCGTGGATTTGAATTTTCCTCTGTTTCCTGGAGTTTGGATGTTTTTGTACTTTACCGTACACTTTAGACTGCTGGAAACAATAAGCCTATTTAAAATTTCGCGGTGGCAATGAGACAGACCTTTTAAAACCTTATCGCAGCTGTTCAAATACAACATCATTGTCAGGTTAAGAGCCAGTGTCTTTTATAGCCGCAGTCTCCAGCTCCTGGGTTGCCGGAGAGTTTAAATATTACCTTCGTAATATTCGCTGCTCGCAGGCTCTTTCGGCAGCATCCCCTGCGCCTGGCGCAGCCCCTGCCCTCCCCGGGCACGCTTGGCCGGCGCCGCGGGCTGAGCCGAGCGCCGGGCGCTGCGGCGCGGTGGCCACGTAAGATCATGATCAGAGCCATGGCTAAGACTCGCCTGCGCCGGGGAAGAAGCCGCGGCAGAGCCCACGACGCTCCCTCCGAGCGCCGCGTCCCCCCCCTCGCCTTCTAGCAATTTCCTCCTCTTCAACAACAGCCTGGACAACCCACAGAGTTTAAAGAAACAAAATACTATTTTTCTTGACGCAGTTTAAGACTTGACTATTAAATCTAATCAGGAATTTTATGCCCATCAAATGGTTCTTTCATAATCTTTATTTACACTGTAAGAAAAGGGGTCCCAGAAATATCCCAGCTGAAAGTATCAGCCCAGAGGTTTGCGGCGGATTTCGCCTAACAGTAAAGTTAAAACAATAAGCAAATGCTGAGCTGCTTTCCACGCCGGCCTCGCTGCTGCTGCTGCTGTTGCTGCTGCTGCTGCTGCTGCTGCTGCTGGAGGAGCTGAATTCTGGGCGCCTGATTAGACATGAGGGCTCTTTGATTTTTTGTAATTGAAAATATTAATTTCATGCATGTCACTACACGGAAACTCAGATGATTGTTGTGATTATAATAATTTAAATATTGCGTTCAGGACTGGCAAACGGCTCCATAAGACCCTTCACTCACGGTAAATCATGAGGGGCTTAAAAACGGGCAGCAATTTTTTATTGAAAATGAACAGTAGAAAGTTTAAGTTTGATGTAAATAGAAGTTGAATAAACATGCGAGAGCCATTGGGGAACTGGGGACTTAGGCTCTGGGCATTTAATGTCACTATTGTTTTAAATCATATTAAAATGGAATAAAGTAATTAACATTAATAAATAAATCAATATTGTGCAATAAATGAGATATACAATCTACATTAATATAAAGGTTTTGCTCTCAGAGCCCCATATTTTTCCGAACGAGGGTGAAAAAATGCCCCAACCAATGGGTCCATGCAGATGTAAATTACTGTTTGTAATAAAGCATAGGTGGACATTACAGTTTTCTCCTCTAGCAAATGTCAGGGCTAAAAACTGGAGGTTACCAGACGTGGCAGCAGGGCTTAATTTTCACTGCCTTATCTCCCTGAACCTTATTACTGGTGATATGATTATGTTTTTGTCTCGGCTGTGCCGAGCATTCTCATAGTTGCAATTTGCTCTGTTTGTGTCTCATTATGTGAGGGGGATGGGAGAGGGGTACGAAAGAAGCTAGATATTTTGCAGATGCCTTCAGTAACAAAAGTATTGCGAGAAATGTCTTATTTTTAAAATAGGCTGGAACCCAGGAAGCTTTTAGTAAATTTCCTTTGATTTACTTGATTTCACCATTTTATTTAGGGTGTCCTTAAACGCGCGGACTGTATATTTTCTGCCACGCTGTTATATTGCAGAGACATTGAAGAAAATTTTATATAAGAATAAAAAAATTGGCTACTATATTGTGCCCTTTTTATTTTATTAAAGCAACTGTCACGTTGCCCAGATTTCTATGTGCCGTATTTTCATAGAAAGAGTCAGCGTCTGGGCTGAGGGCTCAGATTCTCTAGATTTTTTTGACCGAGGTTAGGGGACAGAGACGGCATACTGATGACACAATGTTTTCTCCTAAATATGAAAGCCTATAAAATAAACAAAATAACACGCTGGTCTTTTCTTCAAAGGTCTTATTTCTGAGCGCAAGGATCTCACAGTAGCACTGACCGTACGCTCAGCTTCGCCCTAAGCCCCAGCCCTTCTCCTATTGTATTTCCATATTTTTGTGGACACAAAAGTGCCTGAGTGTGATGAGTTTTTAGCGTGTATATTGGCAGCCTTCAGCCTCGATATTTGTGCTGCACATTTATCTTTCGGCATATTCCTGCCGCATTTATATTTTAATCAGAAAATAAACAAATGCCCTTTTCGTTCTATGTAAAGGACAAGCCCAGAGACATTTGGAAATAGCTCACAATCTTTTCTATCTAGAGGAATTTAACTGAGAAAGGGGTAAAAAGGAAAAATGGAAGAGGTTACAGACTCTCACAGAATCATCACGTTTACACAATAAAAAAAAATATAGCGGCATTTCTATGTTCTGGTGTATAGATACAATTTTCCAAAATTAACAGCGCACCCTGGTTCCCATCACCCGTTCACATTCTCTGAGTTCGGCCTCACTATAATTGCGAGGGGCTAAAGCACCTCTTATTAAGCCTAATGGGCTCGGGGTTGGTGTGGGCTCTCGCAAGGAGCCCTCTCATGCCAAGATAAACATACACAAAATCTTCGCTAAACATTTTCCCCTAGGAAAGTGTGTGTCCACCGAGACACCGGGGCATTTTCCTCCGGGATACGGCTCTGTCTGCAAGGGCTACCTCTGGCGTCAGGGATCCCAAGGATTTTGGATTGTACAATGCCATTTTATTACCGACGGAAAGGCTATTTCTAGGAAAGTGTTAACAATGAACTTCTTAAAAAAAAAAAAAAAAAAAAAAAAAAAAAAAAAAAAGAAAAAAAGAAGAAAGAAAGAAAAGAAAAATAAACCACACACCAACTATCCAGCAGACAAAGTGCCAACAAATGCGTTCGCAAGAGACTGGGCTTTAAAAAATGCGGAATATGGCTAAGCCAACATGAAATAGATTTCGATGAATTCTGCAAATAAGCAGAAAGCAGCGAAACCCTTTCTTTCCCCAGGTTCTGACCAGAAATGCACACTGGAAGGAAAAAATAGATAAAGCAAGCATTTTAAAAAATCTCAGAAAGACAGAACATGCTCGGCTGCTGGAGAACGTCCAAAAAATTCATAAGATTCACTTTAATTCTGTAAGCTCTACTTTCATTTTAATAGATCTCCATAGCACTTTTAAAGAGAGGGACTTCATTCAGCAATGCCTTGGCAAGGTGATGTTAGGTTATTAAAAATATCTCCTTTTCTCTTTAGTCTCTGTCATTCTTTTAAAAACAAGCACTCTCAGGAGCTAATATTAATCTCGCCTTTAAATAAAATACGTTTTTAACATTACGTTTTCTGTATCTAGATGTTTATTTAAGAAAATTCTCGAGTAAGAATCAAAGATAAATTGTGGAAATGCATTTTTTTTATATTACTTTTGTTCTTCTAGCGTTAAGGTTGTCCTTAAAGAAGTAGATAGATTTTCGTTCTAGGGAACGAATTCTGAATATCTTTGGGGTTTGATTTTTTTTACTTTCTTAAAATTATGGGATTTTTTTTAAAGCTCGGATGCATTATAAAAGATTACGAGCAAAAAAAAAATTCTTTTAAAGTGGCATATTTCTCCAGCACGTCACGGTTATGGGTTATTTGTTTAATAAATCTTTTTGATGCTTTATTTTCTCATTTGGAAGGCCCTGAAATCTTATCGTTACTTATATATTAGATATTTTATTAGCAGTGGAATTATTATTAGGGGGAAAAGAGACTGGAGCACCAGAGGCTGCGGCATTGCAGCGCCTGGGCGCGCCCTCCTGTGGCCGCTGCCCGCCAGACACCGGGAATTTTCTCCTCTCCAGGTCTTTCTCCTCAGCTCAATTTGTTCTCAGTCATGGGTTTCTTCCTTTCTTTTTAAATAGAAACTTAACACCGCTATCATTGAGCATTTATGCAAGATTAGTGCCACGGTGTTTCGGTTTCCGCGTCCCGCTTTTGAGGTGTTTCGGCATTTTGAAGGCGTGTTAATACGCTGAGATAGACTGTTAAAGCACTGCAGGGAACAGAAAACCAAACGACTCGTTCTCGCCCTGTGGATTAAGGATCGGGAGACACGCGAGAATTTTGCTCTAAGGTCAGGCAAAATGCCGTGAGGAATTCCCCGCGAATTCGCGCATTTCTAATTAATGGGCTTTGTGGGGAAATTGCATAGAAACATCGTCTTTCTCCCTACATTACGAAACATTTTCTACTTAAAAACAAATGTTTTTCTAGGCAAACCCCTCTTTTTCTCATGAACTAAAGAAAAAAAAAAGAAAAAGACAAAAAGGAAAAATATTTTTGGGTCGAATTCCCAGGGCGCGGAAGAGAAAGAGGGAAGTGAGGAGCCCCCTGTGCTCCAGCTGGCAGGGACTGGAGCAGGGCACGCTCACTGCACGACGCCGAGAGCTCACCTCGACCCAGCCGGGATTTTCTTTGCGTTATGATGCATTTGCTAATATGGCCAGCTATGCGGTAAAATGTGTGTGTGTGGCTGTGCGTGTGTGTGAGAGAGAGCGAGTGAGGGAGGGAGAGAGTGAGACAGAGAGAGAGTGGGTGGTGGTTGAAAATAACAGAGGAACCTTAAGGCGCCTAATTATTCAGAAAGGTTAAAGGTGATGACCTTGACATTTTGGAAGTTCAAAGGCATACACTTATGTTTTTCTTGCTAAAGTGTTTAAAAAAATTTTTTTTTAGTCATGCCTCCCTCCTCTTCTATTTCTCTATTTTTTGAATTCTCCGTCTTTTCCTGACTTAGTTGGCACTTTTGCCTTCCCTGCCTGCGAGCGTAGCGAGAGCCACCTCGTCCTATTCAGAAAAGGCAAATTCTTTTCTCACTCGTCGCCTTTATTGCACATTGCGGAAATCTCTTTTTCGCCCACCAGAAGGTGTATAATATAACCCAATTAAGCTGTTTAGAACCTCGCGTTTTATGGTGTTGTCTAGACAGTTCAAGGTTTTGTAAACAGCCCAGCCAGGTCACGCAAGATAAAGCGGCGAGGAGCGGAGCGGATCTCCTCCGGGTGCCGGCCCCCGGCGGGGCCCGCCGCGGCCGGCAGCGCGCTCAGCTCCGCTCCCGCCAGCGCCGCGCTCCGCTCGCCCTGCCCGGCAATCACATTGCAGAGAACCACCCCTCTGCTCCCAAAAGTGTTGGGGGCGGTTATGGTTTGGGGTGGGTTTTTATTTTTTTTCTTTCCTTTTTTTTTTTTTTCCCTTTTCTTCCATTTTCTTTTCTTTTTTTTTTTCCTTTTTTTTTTTCTTTCTTTTTTTTTTTTTTTTCCCCCAACTAGTGCCAATTGTTTATAGCTCCCTCTTGTTTGACTCGCTCGGAGCTCTCGGTCTTTCTGCCTTGCTCTTCACTAACGAGTAAACAGTCATTGACGTTGGGGATTCTGGGCTTATTTGGAGCCTGAGCAGTTAAACGAAAAGCCTTTTTCGTTGTTTATAGTAATGGTAGCACCATCAGAAGTGATGGTCTGCAGACAGCCATGTTGGCTCTGTCTCACAGCGAGCGGGGAAGGTACGCATACCTACAAAGGGAGCATTAGGCATCTGAACTATTACTTAATTAAAATGCTTTTAAAATAACCCGACTAGACTTCCTCACGTTATTATTTAACTGAACTTGGCTCTAACCCGGAAAACGCTAGGATCCTTCGGAGATGGAAATCCATACAGTGCACGGAAGTTATAACCTTAACTTTACTAGAAACCATTTATTCACATGAAAAAGACAGTGGCCCATGCTTTTGGATGACAATAGAAACATATATATATATACTTTATATATAGCGAGCGTACATTTACCATCTCTTAAATAAACCGCATTCACTTAAAAGGGAGGAAAGTGTTACCCTAGCTCAAAAGCAACGACAGAGCCCCCCCCGAACTCAATGAATTGTAAGCAACAACTACCAGACACACTGCAGGTCCATTGCTGGTACTGTGGGAGAGGAAAAAAAAAAGCACCTTTGGCGAAAAACACTCGAGAGTGGACAGTTGGATTTACCCTAGCTTCCCCTTATCAGGAATCTGCTCCGCCAAGCCCCGAAATCTCCAGTGGCCATTCAGTGTGGGGAGTTGCACATGAAAATGAAACTTTGAGTTCCGCAGGGTGGATGTGTCAAGTAAACAAATTAACTTTTGCATTCAGATGGTAGGTCAGGGAGACCGATATATTCATTGTTTTTCTTCTTTCTTCCTGTTGTCTTGTTTTCTTTTTTTCTTTTTATTTTT